TAAGTTGTGAGCTCCAAAGGGCTTCAGTGATTTCATGCCTGTGCCTTCCTTGGCTTCTGGACACAATTACAACGCAGACACCTTTTCTGCCAAGTCGTAACACACGTTGTCTGGGCTCCAGCAGCCAATGTAGTCCTTCTTCCTAAGAGATGCCTCCTGAGCCTGGTCTTCACAAGCAGGATTTCTATCAGCCTTCTGGTCTTCTGCCTGCTGACCAGAATCTCCCAGAATCTGACCAGAATACAGGATAACCTAAGGCATTCTAGCTCTACTCTTTCAGGCGACATTTCCAAACCTTTCCAAACCCTTTCCACAAGCCATTCTCAAAAGCTCTGGAACCTCATGTTGGGGTATAGTCATAGCAACAAACCCCACTTCTCTGGTGCCAAATCCTGACTTAGTTACTTTTTTCTCATTGCTTAGACAAAATATTTGACACCCTGAGTTAAGAAAAGGAAGGTTTATTTCTCACAGTTTGTGGAGGTTTCAGTCCATAATTTGCTGGCCCCAAAGCAGTGTGGCCTAGGACAGGAGCAACAGTTCAAGGTGGCAGAAGACAGCAAAACCAGCAAGAGCACAAAGGGGGAGAGCAAGCCTCTTTTCCTTCCTTATATTATATGCAGACTGTCCACCTTAGGGCAGGCAGAGCACTCCTATCATCTCTGTGCCCTCCTCTTGCATAGGTTCAGGATGTTTACAAAGTGAAGACCCTGGCACCCTGCTGAGCCACTTAGTTAAGCTTCTAAGCTTCTCAGTTCTCAAGTTGAGGTAATGTACCAACCATCCCAAGCTCTCCGTGTACAGCGGGGGCATTCGGTTTCTGTACTGCCCACGATAGCTACCCAAGGCCACATACCAACAGTACACTCCACAAGTGGCCAATGTGAGTGGGGAGCTCAGTGTTGGATTCTAGTTCATTCTAGTAAGTTTCTGCTTGAGGCTAAGCGGCCTGTGCTGGTAGCTGCACAACCATGGGCCGTGCACATTAGCTCATTGTGAGAGAGCCTGGCCGCTAGGAGGCACTCCTGCTCCATCTCTAGGTTGTGCGCCGAGCTTTATGACTCCACCTGCCAGCCACCGTGGGCTCAGATGCTTTGACGGGAACAGAGAACTATAGGAAGGGTTCCCCTGTCGCTGTCATGTGAACCTATTCCAGCATTTGCCCATCTGTGGTGGGGAGGGGTGTGGCTGGGACCTGTTCTCTAAGGGGCTGACGTGGTCGCAGTTCTAGGCTGAGTCTGAGACCAGGACACCAGTAGCAGGCACCGTGGTGATGTGGGAGGAGGAGGTCACACTGGAGCAGGAAGCCAGAGACACGGGAGGTGAGGGGGCTCAGGACTGTGCTTTCTTATTATCTTCAGTGATGCTCCTGCCTCAGCCTCTCACGTGCTAGGATTACAGGTGTGTGCCTACATCGAGCTTGTTTGTTTTGTGCGTGTGTGTGTGTGTGTGTGTGTGTGTGTGTGTGTGTATTTAGTACAGGGTCTACCGGGTACAGGGCCTACAGGGTCTCACTACACAGATCAGACTCATAGTGTGATTCACCTGTTTTCAGCCTCCAGAGGGCTGGGATTATGGGTGTGCACCAGTCTCAATTGCCATCTCAGGGCGCCCTGGGGGGCAGGGCCAACACAACACACCAGGGATCAAACCTTGGATACTGTGCTCTGCCTATGCAGGTGCTTTAGTCCTCTGAGCTATCTGGCCGGCCCTTGTTTTGTTTTCTTGACAAATGATCTCAGTCTGTAGTTTAAACTGTAGGGTTTTTTTTTTTTTTGTGTGTGTATCTGTGTGCTGATCTTTTTTTTTTTTTTTAATGTATCAGGTATTTAATTAGGTTCTTAGTAAGAAATTTAGAACACTAATTTATGAGGATAAATTCCATTTGTCAGAGCAAAAACGGATTGCAGGTAGCCCCAGAGCTGAGGAACACCTTTGATTTTTGCCAAAATCTGTGAGTCCACCACTTTCTGATCCACCTTGCACTGCTCTGAAATCTGCTATCTCTCTTTCTCGGTGTCGAAGATCTCGCCCTCCTGGTGTCTGGGCTTCCACAGCTTCTTCTTCTTAAAGTAAGCATCAGTGAGGTGTTTGGGGATTTTCACTTTGCTGATGTCAATTTTTGTAGAGGTGGCAATGACAAATTTCTGGTGTGTTCTTCATAGAGGAACACAATTAAGGCTCAGAGGCCCAGTCACAAGTAGCAAGCCACTGGCCAACGGCTTCAGGAAGACCACTCTCTTGCCTCTGTGATGCCCGGTGAGGGTGATCAAGATGGTGCCGGGAGTGACGCGAGCTCGAAGTGTCCTCACATGCTGACTGAAGGGTTTCTTGTTGTGGCTCAAGAGCACATCTTCAGTAGGGCAGTACCTAGGCATTTTTCGAAGCTTAACCACCCAGCTCCCTCCATTCTTGTCCCCACCAACCGGTTTTGTGATGGTAGCTAGAACTTTCTCCTTCTTTTTCTTCTCAACCTTTGATTTAGCAGCTGTGTACTTTCTCTTGTACAAAGCCTTTCTGGAATACATAGCAGATCGGGAGTACCTACCAATTCCTCTAACCAAGACAGGATTTCAGCTGCAGTGGGGCTGCCCCTTCTTGGACTTGTTTGCCTTCTTCACCTTACCCTTTTTACCAGTACCACTTCTGGTACTGGTAAACCTTCTGGGCTTCAGGTTTCTTCTCTTTAGTGTCTGGCTTCTCAGTTTTTTCACCCACCATCTTGCAAGATGGGAAAGGTGTGCGTTGATCTTTTAATTTGGGTTATTTTTTGTTTTTTGAGGAAGGGTCTCCCTATGTATTTCAGGTTGGCTTTGAACTGTTGAATGCTGTTATTTTAGGCATCCACATTTTAAGCCTAAAGATAAGCCACCCAGCATGGGGGTTGAGCCCACAATCCTGAGATTAACAGTTTTAGGCTGAGCCAGGTGTGATGGTGCACACCTGTAATCTCAGCACTTGGGAGGCTAAGGCAGGAGGATCCTGTGAGTTCGAGGCCAGCCTGGACTATGAAGTGAATTCAAGGCCAGCCTTAACTGGAAAGTGGGACCCTGTCTCAAAAATAAATAAATAAAGAAATGTAAACAAAACCAAAGTTTTATGCTTTGCCACATGAGCTAGCCAGGTCACTCTGGAGGCAATGTTTTGCACGCTGTTGGATGTAGATGCAGAATCATCCGCTCTTGCATACACAGTTTTCTCGGCACCATCTGTGGAAATGCTGTCCTTTCCCATGCAGTGGTCCCTGCACCTTGTTGACAGTGAATTGCCCACTGCCACCCTGAGCTCTGTCCCACTCTAGTTTACTGCAGGCCTCACTCCCAGGGCTCCTGTTTTAGGAGACGAGGCTAGAAGGACACAGGTGTGGCTAGAGGAATTCATAGTTTGGAGCACAAGTAGACAGTCCTCAGAAAGGGACTGGAGGGCTCTCTTCCTCCCTGTATGTACGTGGAGAAGCCCTATGGGGGCAAGGAGCCACCTGCCTGCTCCACTCACCAAGATCATGGACTCCCAGCTCCACAATGTGGGGGTATAGATTCCTGCTGTGTAGGCTGCCCAGTGTCAGACCACACCCACAGACACAAGTGAGCACTCCTGTCTGGGCTCTCTACTCATCCTTTTGGTCTGTACACCTCTTCTGTAGGACCACACTGTTTTGATGATTGTAGCTTTGAAGTAACCTTTTAAATCAGGAAGTGTGGGTCCTCTGACTCTTCTTTTGTAGCAGGAATTGAACTCATGACCTTGCACTTGCAAAGCAGACACTCGTGCTACTGAACTATCTCCTTGGCCCATCCCCTTCTCCTCCTCCTCCTTCATTTATGTAACACAGGGTCTTGCTATGCAGTTCAAATTCATAGTGATCCTCTTAGCCTCCCCAGTGCTGGGGTTATAGGCATGTACCACCATCTCTGGTTTCAGGGGGCATGATGTGCCCGGGGTTCCAGGACTGGAACAGCATGTAATACCAGGGATCACACTTGGGTCCTTATGCTTGCCACTCAGGCGCTTAGACCACCAAGCTACCTCTCCAGCCCCACTGTCTTCTTTTTTGAAAATTGTTGTGACTGCTCAGAGTCCCATGCGATTTGGCACCAGTGTTCGAAGGGGACTGTGTATTTCCACAACAGAGGACCTACCGCTGGGGTTTCAGTAGCCGTGGTCTTGCACCCGGAGCCCCTCGGTTGCTGCGATCAACTCAGCAGTGGCAGTCTTCAGTCTGCTCACACCATTGCTCTCACTGTAGCCACTCCTAGGAGACTGCAAGTCTCACCGGTGCAGTGAATCAGCTCCGCCTCTCACTCTGCTTGTGGGTCTTGGCTCACGAGTCTTTCCTGAAGGTGGCAAAGGTTGTTCTTGGTTGAATCTGCCAGCCTGTTTTTTGTTGGAGAATTAAGACCATTACATGCAGAATCATTATAGGAAGCTAGTACTAACCCCTGCTCTGCGCTCTTTGCTCTACCTGCTCCTCCGGGCGCAGGCTCTGGCATATGTCTCCTGCAGTGTGGGCAAAGCAGGAGAGATTCCGCAGGCTGGCTCACCTTGGAAGCACTGTTCTCTGGCGGTCCTTGAGGACACCAAGTGGCAGAGCAGAGAACTCTGACAGTCAGTTACTTGCTTTCACAGCGGGTCATGGTTCCTGACCTTGTGAGATTTGCATGGATTTGCTCCACAAGTGACTTGGAATTGCTCCGTGGTAGCTTTCAATATCCCTTTCCTTGTTTGTAATCCATCCTTCCTCTCTCTCTCTCTCTCTCTCTCTCTCTCTCTCTCTCTCTCTCTCTCTCTCT